AGTACCATCAAGGACATGCCAGAGGGATACCAGCATGAAGTTGTCAGCCACAGTCTCCACTTTATTCATCCTGAGATCGGTGCTTACACAAACAGCATTGAGTCTCTATGGCAGAAATTTAAATAGGGGCACAAGTCCTGGTACGGGACGGAAAGGGCACTAGGGCACTACTGAATTCGTAAATGGACGAATTCATATGGAAAAAAATGTATGGGATGGATGCGTTGTACCACCTCTGGTTTCAAACAGCTGAACACTATCCACCGCCCCCAGGTTCCGTCTGAAAGTGCGGGATTATCTTTCGGCTCCTGATCGGTGTGCCTTATGACAGTCCAATTTTTGGAAAGTCCCCCGTATGACGGGCGCTTATGCAGCTTTTCTTCCAGGTTTTCCGACCTGAGAGAGAAGCGAAATATGAGTATATATGTGACGTCAGTGTAAATGCTTAGATGCACGCAAAACTCCCTTCTCTACCCTTTATAGGAACAAACCATCAACGTCTCTTCGATGTGTTGCATCACCTACCACTGCACCTCACACCACTTGTTTCAGTCACCGCTCCAAAAACTGTTCTACTCTCCATTGCCTCGTTTGCCTCAAACTGCTGTTCCACGTTACCTAATAACCTATTGCTACAAAGGGTCACACCCGTCCATGATGTCTCACAATTGTTTATAAATCTGCAGCTGGACAGCACTCATTTTCGGCATTATATGGGGACTTATCAGCCCTTAACCGAGATTGACGCGGTCGACATGTCTCTTCGGCTGCTTAAAGCTGCGACGACAGCGACGTCGCTCCAGTCGCAGCTTACCAGGAGGAGGGGCCTCTTTCAAGTATACATATGAGGCCGTCAATCGACAAGAGCTCCAAATTTTTAAGAGAATTTTGAGTGTAAACTGTCTCACGTCTTGTATACTTTATGCTAAAATGTTAGTTCATTTACAGAAGTTTTACGAAAGCTTTTAATGGTTCAAATCTGGCATCTCGATGACTACATGTACGGAGACCCACGCCTTCCTCACTACGTTTATCCACCTAAAAAACTGAGTCCCGACGACCTGTTTAAGAGAACTAGCGTAAAATATGTCAAAGTGATTAAAAAACTCTCATTGAAAACTTTATCCAACTGACATCTTGGCCGTCCCTTTTTTTTTTCTGCAAGCGGTCGATATCTTAGCTGCATGAGTAGCAAAATAATAAAATTTTGATGCTTTTTTAAGCGATATAAAACTCCATTCTTATTAAACTAACAAAATGTATTTGTAGCTTACGTCAAGTTAGACGTATTTGCGTCTTTTTAGATTCAAATCTTGGATGAGATTAAGGCCTTACGACAAGTGGAGAAACTCAGGAAAGAAAAGCAGTTTGGGTGTGACGAATTTTTTACTCTGGACGGACGAAGGGCGGAAAATTTCAAAAGTAAGGTACTGAAATTTTTTATTGAGTATGTATGAAAATAGTCTTACTTTCGCAATACTAAAGTGCTAAGAATCAATGTCTCTGAGCCAAATCCATCAATCCATTATAGATAGAAAAACTTTATGCAATCACTACAACGTTGGATGAAGAAGCACATTTCGTGTCGGAGGGATCTGCCTATTTTGACGTCCTTGAAAACGACACCACAAAATGGCTCCGAATTTGTTGCGAGGCTGGAGACCTACTCGTTTTCCCCGCTGCTAAATTCTATAAAATAACGACCACACCTGAAGCAAGTCCACTTCAACAATAGAAACTCAAAAAAGCGCTACTTTTTTTCCATTGTTTCAAGGGAAGACGAATACGTCATGTTTAATTCAACTATATTTTAATGTTTTTTAGAACTACCTAAAGATCCAGCGATTTTTCAAGCAAAACTAGTATTTCCACTGCTTTTGGTGTCACATTTTTCTCGGAAACCGTCAAGTAAACTATGGTTCAAAAAGAAGTGATCGTTTCTCCGAAACGTCGGCTTAAATTACAAATGCTACCCGGATGTAGCATTAGCTGTTGCTGTCTAGGATTTTCCCTTACACAAAGATTTATCCATTTGTTTTATTCGTTTTAAAAAGTTTGTCAAAACGAAATAAAAACTCACATGTTTGAACTCTGTTGCATTATTCTGTGCTAAAAAAAGACCATTCCTGGCCCTTAGAGAGTAAGGGCTACAGTTGTGGAAAGTACTTACAATGTACGCGAAAGCTTCTTTAATAAGATCAGGAGAGCGGGCAGACGATTTTGCGGTGTAAATCCGCAGCAGCGAAGTAAAAAGTATGTTAGAAATACCAACTATAAGATTCGACCATAACCCTTCATCGCTTGCACTCCAAACGGTGAACGATTAAAGAGTTCGGGGAGACCTGCGACATTATCGAACTCGATAAGGCGGCACTCGGTCGGCAGTTGACTTTTGAGCATCAGACATGAGCAAGGTGAGGTACTAGAATTTCATTCGCAACAGCCTATCCATCTGTTCAGTTTGCAGTGTTCTTTCATGAAAGTAGTTTAAAAACTGCTTTACGAGCCCCACCAGATTATTCAAGAGATCGTTGACAAATCATCTATTAATTTACGTTGATTTGCTAAATTCCAGCAAAAATTACTCGTCATTTCTCCGCAGAGCAGGAATTGCATGAATGCTTCTTTCATAACAGAAAAGTTGATAAGCCCAGCTTTAAGCGGGAAAGTAATCGAGTTTCATTATCCCTTCCAACAGTCTCTACGTTATAACGAAGGTCCCGAAATACTGGACCTCATTTGGTAACTTTTGGTGATAAGTTTCATCTAGCTACCTTTTTCTTTCTTAAATCTTAATGAACTGGAATTGAAAGGAATCAAGTTTACTGACATTCCTTCTCAAAGGTAGTTTTATAAAACTGTATTCTAAAACATTAGTTCTCACTGCAGTTGTGCGTTGCATGAATTCGACACAGTCGACGAATACGTTCGAGAGTTGATCGAAGCTCCAGAAAAAACTGATTTGAAGAGGCAAACCTTCTTTATTTTAATTTTCTCAGATTAAATCTTCAAATAACCGTTCCATTTCAATTGTAACAACACCTTTCCTAAGCTGTTTTTTATTGTTCGGTTTTCACCTAACAAATTTTTTATATGCGTCAACCAAACTTCCAGTTTCAATTAACATAAGAAGCTTAGGAACGGTATATTTTTGCATCTACTTTAAAATTTAAATATTCTCTAGTATTGAAGGTATCTTAGAAGAAATAATTCTTTTGCAGCTCCAAGGATTTTGAAAACCTGCTGAAAAATTTTAACCATGCGGCTGCGACCCGGGCCAAGCTGGTGTGTAAAATAGTTAAAATGAAGATACTTTTTGATCTCTTTAATCACAAATACAGCTTAATGGTGCTTAGTGGTGACCTTTCAGGTCGCGGGATATGTTCCACAGCCGGCATCCAAAGAACTACTATTTAAAATTTGTAATTTTTCTTACAACCGTGCTATAGACAACGTGAACCTTTTAAACAGCTATAAAGTAGGATCGTCTTCTGTCTACGGAGAAATTACAATTGAGTGTTTTCAAAAAATCCTTGACGTCATACAACCAAATGTGAGCTTTTTAAACCTCTAAAGTTGCTTTATTATTTTTTAGTATTTTTACAAAAGAAAGGCCATTTTTTTAATAATAAGAGACAATTTAGGAGCGAGACGTCTTTGTTGACTTAGGAAGTGGTGTTGGTCACTTGGTGACATATATTGCTGGAGCAACCCAAGTAAGAAAAGCTATCGGAATTGAAAGAGAGCAAATACCTGCTGGTTATGCCAAAAGACTCGCTTCAGAATTCAAAAAGTTAGTTGGGAAGAAAAACTTCCCTGTTTTTTTTTCAGAATATCAAACTTTCCAACTTTAATTTTGATTTCTGAAACGTTCGACATTAATAAGAGTATTCCGACTGACCAAAATAACCATCGTTATAAAACTGCTTAGAGTGCTTACAGCTCCCCCGTGCTTCTATTTTCCAATTTTTGCTGCGTTAGGTCTTTGTCACCTTTGTAAAAACTAGCAAAGGAAGTACCAGTAGTTTAATTTTTTGAATGCTTGCCAGCCGATACGGTACCTTGAATTCAACTTTTTCCCTGTCTATGTTCCATGACATAGAATCTAAAGAACATTGCTTTTGGAAGTGCTGCTATGCCACTGGAAAGATAGCACCGACTCAGTGTGACTGGCCCATCACAGTGATAAGAAAATATGGGTTTTAGTAGCAGTCGCCGATCTCCAACTCGTCGCAAATTAGATTAGAGAAAGGAATAAAATGAGATAAAAAAGAGCCGGCGATGCTTTATCGGTCCGCGGCGAGCTAATACTGGCTGTCTTTAGAAGCTTGATTGTTGCGCTATAAAGGAAAGTAAGTACGTTGTCATTTGGCCGGTCCAGTGGTGGACCAGTGCTTGTTTTGAAGAGGTAGGGCTAGTTAAGAATCTAACATACCGTGGGATAATAGAGAGCGGGCACAGTAAGCGGGCAAGGAAGTCCCAGGGCCATTTTATAATTAGTCGCTCGTAAACTTCGCAGAGTATCGGTATCGGTTCATTCGGTTACGCACTTCGTTAGCCGGAACATTTGGTTGGGTGTCTTCATTCCTAGCACGTTCTTCCCTATGTATAAGCGCTAATCACGCATCTCATAATTTAGTTCTTAATTTGGGGGCGACGTTTCTTCCAAGTCAACGACTGCCACTCAGCTTCCATGCACTACGAACACGAGAGAACATCTAGGGGGGAGGAGGAGGCAAGAGTTTCAATGACTTTGACTGTTAGGAATCAGTAGTAGATGAAACAGTTTTGTAAATAATAACTGGGGGCGTCGGAAATGGCTGACTGAACTTTTTAATTAATTCTGCTGACTCATCAAACGGAAGAAACTCGTTTACAACTGCCTACAGTTTCTAAAAAAACCAAGTCCAGAGGAAGCTATCCCAGCACAAAATGTGGCTGGCACCACTCCGTCGCAAAAGTCTAGTTTGGGGACTTTGTCACTGTCTATTTCCATAAGAATATTTCGAAAAATCCTTCATGACTGCGTAAGTCTCAGCTCCCTCGAGTGCTCTATAGACAATTGGGTAGAGATGACGCGAGGGTCGGCCCCGCATGCCGTAGTCCCTAGCAGCGATGAGAACCACCAATTCAGTCCTAGGTTCACAATGTAGGAGTGGCGAAAATAAAACTTTCAAGACTCTCACTCTCTCAGAACTAAACGTTTTATAATTAAGAAATAAGGTTTTCAGTATTTGCAATTCGCTGTAAGGTAAATTACGTAAACGACTAATTAAGTCACATCATGTTCTTCTCGAAATACAAAGTCGAAAACAAATGTCACTTGGCTGTTGACTGTGAATGTGAGAAAGATCGTTTCCTGAATAGTAAACAGATTTTTTTACGAGCAGTAATTTCGTTCGAAAGTAGTCGTCATTTGAAGCTAGGTCTCACGCGAACTGATTTTAATTATGTCTCACAACTCTATTTTTCGATTGAGAACCCTCTCTGCTTTCGCCTGATATTCCTATTAGAATGAACATGCATAAACTCAGCGGTAATCGCTTCTAATAGAAAAAAGAACTAAAACACTCAAAATTACTTGCGTTGTTTAACACTAGCAGCGAATTCATTGATGTGAGCAACGTGCACAGCGTCTGCTATCTTTTTCTGAGGACCGTAATATCAGTTAAGAAATAAAAATTTTTATTGTATTTCGAAAGATTCTCCTTAAAAACATTCATTACTAACTCGCGTTAGTTGAAAGACTGATTTTTGTAGTTTAAAACCCAACTCTGGAGAACAATTCGGGTTTCGTTTTTGGTCCCACTGTTAATATATGGTTTTTTACAATTAACCATCAATTTTATAATAGGTAAACACATTTAATCCGTTTAGCACTTTTCAGCTTAATGAATTGGTTTGGAAAAATGGTACGGCCATTTCAACTGTATGAAGGAGATTTTTTAGAAGAAAAATACCGCTGTTTGTTAACGGAAAGAGCAACAGTTCTGTTCATCAACAACTTTGCCTTCACGCCAGATCTTGACGAGAGAATAAAAAAGTATGAAATTCAATCAAACCCTTCGTAGCTATTCATAAAAACTACTTTTAGTCTCCAATTTCTTATTTAGCGAAGTCATTAAACATTTGCGAGATGGAACTTTGGTAATCACAACAAAGAATTATGGTCGAAATGATAGAATTACCGAACGAACTATAGATGGTTAGGATGTACAGCATTAAAAAATATTGGTTACAGATTTGGCCACACTTTAAAAGGAAGGGTAATCGAAAAATTACTTGTTAATACTTATTTGCCTCCTTCTTTCGCCGTACCCCCTCTACGGTAGACTACCTACTTTGTGAGTGAAACAGTTACAAAAGTCTCAGTTAAAATGCTTTTTACATCACTTAAAATTTACGGAACTTATTGTTCACACTTAATTTCGCGAACGATAAGCTCTGTTGCGGCTTTTCTACCCAGAATTTCAAAATTTCACACGCAGCTGTACATTTTACCGAATACTACCAGTATAAAACAGATTTGCTAATTTATGATTGTTGTTAGCTCATCATAGACCATAGTTCAGATGTTTCATCTATTTTGGATGTTTCCCTAATTGGAGTTTATGGCGAAGCGTGCTCCTGGACCCAAACAAAGTTAAATTTTTTTCTTCACTGCGTCAACCGATCAAGGGTAAGTTTCGCTGACATATAGCACGTCACAGACGCTTTTTTTGAGTGGCGACACATATGACACTTCCAACCACTCTACATAGCTCCTTAGGAAAAATAACTAAGTTTTATGCTCACATTCAGAAGATTTTTTAAAGCTGAACGAATTCGTTCTCTGTAAACGACAGAGGAAGAATGATCCTCAGTGCGATGAAGTGCCCAGCAATACCTGCGCGTCTCAAAAGCAGAGAATTATTGAAAGGAAGCGCAAGTGGTTTACCGAAGAATCCGACAACATGAAGGACTCACAACTTGAAGTTGCTACTAAGGATATTCGATCACAGCGACGAAAGCATTATCTCACAACCCCTATAATTACTGAACAATTTATTTTCTCCAACACCTCGCCAGAATCTCCCTCTCTCCCACAACTAAATATTGCTTAATTCTCCTTCTTTTTGTAGTTTTCTTAAGCGAGACTGCAATATAATGCAAAAAACATAAATAGGCCCCATAATTATCTACATTCGGAACTTTCAGTTCTAGAAAAAGTCAAATTTATTTAACCAAATAATTACCCAAAGCTTACCACTGTACTTTATCTGGTTATCAATGCTTTAGTAATCTCTTAAAATTCAAACTACGCTAGTTCTCCAAGTGGATTACGTCGTTATTTCAAAACTGTCTAAATCCCACTCTTCCCTCTTTCATTTTCTGGCAGTTGAACACGATGTTACTAGATTAAAATTTATCAACTTGAACACCGTTTACTTATATTTCTCCACTTTTGACAAATTACAGCATTGATAAAAAGTTCCAATTATTTTTGCTTTCTACTTCTCACTCTTAGGTGCAGCGGACAAATCCAACAAAATTATGATGTTAAAAACCTACTAGCTGTAAGCCTTTCACAGTCTGTAGCTACTAGCTTAGCATGGTTAGCTTTAAGCTACCAGTAGGTTCCATTACAAAACTAAGCAATTGCTTTTTATTCGGCGGTCACTAAACATCCAAACTGCATTCCCTGAAACTGTGTTTTATAAAAAATTACCGCTTGAAGTGACAGGAGAAAAGTAACTCAGCAATGAATGTGTTGCGGAGTTATGCATTTCATATAAACAAACGCGACCACGCTTCAAAAGTGTTTTATTCATTCACCGGGTAATATATGCGTAAGAGTTCTCCAAGACCGCAAAAAAAAAAAAAAAAA